AGAATTGAGCAATACTTTTATGTAGATCGGCCCAAAATTGAGTTGGACTATCGGCCCACCGGGACAAGTCCCGGTATCCCGATAGGCCAATCCGCCCCTGCTGTTTAAGCTTAATAAAGAATTTTGTTCAAACATATACTGACAAAAAACAATAGCAAAAAACATTTATTTGGTAAGGTAAAGCAAGAATTAGCTTCTTTTTCAAGTTAATTTTACTTTACTGATAGTCACTCATAATTTGAAAAAAAAAAAGTTGTTTATGCACACGAGTTATTGCCTTATGTTCTATTCAGATTAGGCCCGCCATGGCCAAGTGATTAGGGCGCTTGACTCGCAGTCTGAGGGTTGCGAGTTCGAATCCCCGTCACACCAAACATGCTCACCCTTTCAGCCGTGGGGGCGTTATAATGTGGCCGTCAATCCCACTATCTGTTGATAAAAGAGTAGTCCCAGAGTTGGCGGTGGGTGGTGATGACTAGCTGCCTTTTCTCTAGTCTTACACTGCTAAATTAGGGACGGCTAACGCAGATAGCCCTCGTGTAGCTTTGCGCGTAATTCGAAACAAACAAAGAGAATCTATTCAGATTAAAAGTTATTCAGAGTTAACTTCAATTAGATTTGACGAATATCTTCCCGAATCTTTTAATTCCAATGAAGATTAAGTTTATCAGCTTTACGTCATAAATAAATCATAAATAACTAAAAAGTCATACACTGGTATATAAATCAGAAAGATGAGATAGAATATTCACAACACTGTTCTGTACAATAAACAGAATTTCAGAATCCTAAAACAAGATATTCCTGTTTAGTACCAAGTATTGTGTAGACACTAAGTTAGAAAAAGCTTAGATTATGATGACGTGTTTATTATCTGCGAGGTCAAACAACAAAGAAGATGTTTCTGTGACAGCGATTTTTGCCGCCAAAACTGGACTTGCACTAAGCTCCTTTAGGCTTGTAACTATTCCAATTAGAATATAAACATGAACGAAATAGTTGTGTTTCCTTAGTAGGAACATATCAGGGCAACGATCCACAAAAACTGATTGACTAGATATCGCAACATGATTAAACAGTGGATAATGGAACTGAGGCTACATGAAAAAACATATTACAGGCGTGAACTTCTATGTGTTGTAGTTTAATTTCGAAAAGTAAAATGCAATAGCAAAATAACTGTATCTTTATCTCTAGCCAGTAGTATTTATAAAGGGTTTTTTCCTTTTTTGATAAAAACTAAACGAAAATGTGAAAAAATATAATTTCAACTACAATTTTGTTGTTCGACATTTTTAACCCGACGACCGGTTTTTCCAACAGAGGGTAGAACAAAATATAGTAGATTTGTTTTTCTATTATTGGGAAGGGACAATGAATAAGTTGGTGAGAGGAGGCAGAAACGGATCAGAAAGAGAGATCAAACTTTCCTTTCTGTTTTTTTTTTTTTTTGCTTTAAGAAGCATCTATTTATTCTTTTTAATTGTTAAGAAAACACAAAATTACCTCAGGCTCTCTTTCCACAGCTTTCCAACGGTCTGGGTCTGCTTTAAACTACCAATAAGCCCACCCCTAGGTTTCATCTGATTAGGAATATTTCTTTTTGTTCATCTTACATAGTGTGACAGCATCGCACGATCCGCCCCCCCCCCCAAAAAAAAGGAGAGAGAGTATAACACTTCCATATAAGACGGAGTCACAATGTAGGGAGAACTTGAATATTTAAAACCCTAAATCCTGATGTCTCAGATTGGGAGGCTGCTGTGGATCTCTCTAAATTGAGAGTCTGCCCACCTATGGCGGACGTGCTCCTGGACATAGTTAAATTTATTACCTGTTGTATTGTAATATAACTCCACATGATGTACGTGTTATTGGAATATATTTCATTAGTTAGAGCAATATATATAATAACAAATACTTTTTAATGTTCAATTATACATAACTAATACAAAAAAGAGGAACTTTACCGTTGTAATTCAATAAATGCAGCTGATTTATTAATCACAATCTTGTACCTTGAATTTCGGTAGGAAGCACTAATTATTCATTTCAGGAGAAGTTGAAATATTTAAATTAATTTTAATACATTACTTACAATTATAATTTTAACTAATCACTATAAACAACTCAAAAGCAATTTAAATAATTTATTCGTGTGATTGGCACTGGTTACTCAAATTCATATGTTTGGTTTTATTCTTTGATATCAGTTCAATCTATTAGCATAAATAATTAGCGCTATTATTTTAATTTCGTGTTGTAAAAGCGATTGATTAGCGGACAGTGCAAAATTTGGAACTTTCTATTAATCGATTAATGCTCTTCACGGGCCTTTGTAGTTGAATCCTGAGAGTAATTGAAATATAGCAGGTGAACACCGATACTATGAAGTTTACTGCATCACTGCACTTATTATTGTAGGATAATAACAACTTGGCGGTTTTGAAATCCGCCTGATGTGTTTCAGTTATTCTGAGGTTCCAACAAATCACATTTAATTGTGACTGATATATAAATATTTTCCTGGTTTGACCAAGTGGTATGTTCCAGTTACTTATAGCTGTAATACGAACTTTTAACAGTAATTAAAATGACGGCTCTTTTTATTTGAAATTTTAATATTTAATTTCAATTAATGTATCTCTAGCGGATGTAGCTTACACTCTACAGTAGAGTGTAGATAACAAATAGAATGCCTATAGGCTTAAATATTATTATCAAAACACGCTAGTTACAGGTTTGTTTGTTTTTTTTTTATTCACGTTCCTTGTAATTTGTTCTTTGCGGGTCGAAATCAGAAATGTGTAATAAATAATATCCCAGAGCTAAGTTTTGTATAATACCAGAACTCATCATTTGGGCTGAATAATGAGAGACAAAGTATAATACTACGGTTTAAACACTCAAAGCCGGTGGAATGTTAACTCAAATAATTTAGCGTCCTCTATCTCACGAGGATCGGTTGATGTGGTGATCGTAGATAGGCGGAGTATAAAGACTGAATTATTTGGGTTAATGAAATAGTTGAAAACCAATACACTTAGAAATTGTTATGAAAACGAGTTAATCTCTGATTTAGAGTTGCAATGTACAAATTAAGAGGGATGTAGAAAGAAACGTATCTGCGGTTAACTTATTTTTATAACTGATTGTACTTTTTACTAGTTTTAGTTTTACACTAACAATAGTAACGTTGGTAGTGGTACTTTTCAGGCTTAAGCGTAAAATTTCAGATGACGATAATGTTTTGAATGTTATTCAGATTTTTGAAATTTATTTGAATAAGTGTGACTTTGAAATTATCGTAAATAATCATGTGTAAAGCTAAATAGCAGGCCTTTCGTCTAATACCTGTGTTCCTCAGGCCAACTGGGATATATTAATTATTATAACATAAAGAACATATTAACATAATATTTTGGAACAACATGGGGCCTGTTTGTCCATCTCAGCTGTTCCATCCTCAAAACTAAATTAAAATGATTAAATAAAATAAATTTAAACACAGCCCTTTTCATTCATATACTTATCAAGCTTTTTCTTAAACTCACTTAAATTTACTACCTGTACAACATCAGAAGGCAACCCATTCCAAAGGCCAACGAACCTGTTAGAAAAATAAAACTGTCTTAGCTGAAGATGATTCCTACCTTGCCAAAATTTATATTTGTGTCTCCTGGTCCTACTGTTCTCATTGTTAAATATTAAAAAAGATGAAACATCAACACTGTCAATTCCCTTTACAATCTTAAACACCTCAATCAGATCACCCCCCCCCCCCAACTCTTCTTTTTTCAAGAGAAAACAATTTAAGAGATTTTTTAGCCTCTTGTCGTATGACAACCCCCTTCATCCCAGGCACCATTCTATTAACCCTTTTCTAAACCCTTTTCAACAATTCAATGTCCTTCCTAAGGTATATATATATATATATATATATAATTACTTAAGGACAACACGGGACCTGTTCGCCCATCTAGGCCATCCCATCCATTGTACCAAACTAAAATAAAGATTAGAACAGTATTATTCAAATATTTACCTAGCCTTTCCTTGAACTCCTTTAAATTAACTGCATCAATCACACCTAATACTAAAAGCAATCCATTCCAAAGGCCAACCATCCTGTAGTATTAGAAAAATAAAGCTGTCATAGTGAAAGATGACTCTTTAACCTGCCAAGATGTAATTTGTGTTCCATAGTTTTACCATTCTCACCAATGAATTTGAAAAAAAGGATGATGAATCAACACTGTCAATGCTCATAATTTTAAACACCTACATCAGATTCCTCTTCTGAAACATTACCTACAATTCAATGTCCTTTCTAATGTAAGGAGCCCAAGACTGGAACATACTATCCCAAATGTAGTTTAACCAGTGACCTATACAATGATGTTATAACCCTTTTTACGTTGAACTTCACTTGCCTGCAGTTTATGCAGCTATGCAGGTTTGGCATTTCTTCAGACCTGGTAATAGAACATTATGGATTTCTTCGTTATTCCAGAATTATAACCCTTTTAAACTTGTATTCAGTATTTCTGTGAATACAACCTAAAATCCTATTTGACCAACTAATAGCAACAGCATATTGCATGGATGGTTTGAGAGACTGGTCAACCAAACATCAAGATTGTTTTCTTCCATAACATTGTAATCATAATTTAAATTATGATATCCCACATGCATTACCTTGCATTTATGATGATCAAAACCCATCTGTCATTTGTTCGCCCAACTCACCAAATAATTTAAATCCTTTTGTAAAGCATCATCAGCAACCTCCTCACAGCCAGCAACACACAAAACTGTAATATCATCAGACAGAATGGTTAAGGTGCTATTTATATTTCTAAACTGAGAGACTACATCTAATAGTATTACCGGTTGAACTGGATTTAGTTAGTCTTGCTTTTATTTTTCTATATGTCACTCCACATGAGAATTAGGATAAGGGTTATTTAACATTACATTATTTATATATATTTGTAACACCATATTATATTAACTGTTATTTCCTTGAATTAACCTGCTTATTATTCAGATGAACTAGCAAATCAGCAAGCTAGTCTTCATGATCCTGGAGCAGGTCAAGTAACCACAGGGTCAACAGGAGAAGACCACATTAATGATTATTTATTAATAACAAGTCTGTGAAAGTAAAAAGGAGTATATAATTACATTTCAACTATGCTATATCTGTTGTATACAGTGCCAAAGAGGACTTTTGCTCAATACCGTAGCTCTTCAAGCTGGGCCTGGATACAACAGATTGAGTAACGGTTGAGACAATATTTATATTAGCAACAACTGCTTGACAGTAATTATTTTGGTGTGAACAGGTTGAAATGATATTTTCCAAATTTATTTCTTTATGTCACAACACACCAGAATTGGATGTGTAAGGTGTACTTGTTTATTTTCTTTGAATAATGTTTTATGTAGTTTACATCAGCAATAAGTTTTTTTCTTTTTTCTATAGCACACAAATTGGCAACTCTTTTCAAATTGTGTTCGTCACCAGTGTTTAGAAAATTGCAGTTGTATCCTGTTACATTAATTTACAATAATCCCCTTAACAGTGCAACACCAATGTCAGAGTTCAACATTTTATGGCCTAAAGTGGTGCTGTTTGGTGACTCCTTAACACAGGTATAGCTCTTGATAATTTGTTTGACCATGTTTATCATGAATTTGACATATACTTGGTTAAATACTGTATATTTTCACAACAAATGTTCATTTGATCACAAATGATTCAAAATTGAGTACAGAATAGTGAAAATGAAAATTATTAGTTTTTAAAGAATTACCTTATTTCACATCAAAACTCATGTTTTCAGAGGGAGGGTAATGTTTAGGCATTAATATTTTCCCTTTAACTAAATAAACGTATAGTATGTTGAAACAAGAAGAAGGAAAAATGTTAGTTAACAGCTGAGCACAGTGAAGTTTAACGGAACCTATGTAATGTAGAAAAAAAGACATAAATCAATATAAACTTTTTTCTTTTTAAGTTAATCAATGTGTGAAAATAAGCATTCAATATATGGTAACAAAATTAACTAGAATTGATGAAATTTACAGTAATAAGTAACTTTTTAAAGAATTATCATAAGGCTCTGGACCAAAATTTACCTTTGTTGGTAATCAGAAGGTTAAGGTTTTGAGCTAGACGACTTTCATAATTCTTTTACTCACTTTATTAAAATATTTTATTTTTGATATGTTCACTTTCTTTCATTTATACCAACACGTTTTTCATTCTAGAGGTATAACAGTGCTTCGTTTACTGAAACTAATAGTTTCATTTTCCTACTTTTGTAAGTTTGGAAAATGATTTTGGTTTGAATGTAACAAGAACAGAATGAATTAAAAACTTTGGTAAATTAATCATATTTTTACTGATATGTATATCATATTAACTGATGATGTTTTGGAGGATTATATTTATAATTTATATTCTTTGTTTTCAGAATTCTTTTAATGTCCAAGATGGTTTTTGGGGTGCTTTATTAGCTGATAGACTTCAAAGGTAATGTTTGAAATATAAAAACCTGAGATTTGAAGAACAAAACGGTCTCAGAAATGTAGGATTTTAAACTGTCGACTGATTTGACTCATTGGCAGATCTGTTAAATGTTTAATAACATTAGTATGTTACAGTGCTGCAACCTATTTCTATTTGTCACACTTCTCCTTTAAAAAAACATTTTTAACATAATATAAAGTTTTGAGACAACAAGGGACCTGTCGGTCTATCTTGTCTGTCCCATCCTCTAAACTAAACTAAAAAATAAATTGACTAAAAAAAAATCTTAAAGCCAGCTCTTATCATTCATATGGTTATCAAGCTTTCTCTTAAACTCACTTAAACTTACTGCCTCCACAACATCTGAAGGTTACCCATTCCAAAGGCCAACGACCTTATTAGAAAAATCAAACTGTCTTAGCTGAAGATGACTCCTATCATGACAAAATTTATATGTGTCCCCTAGTCCTACTATTTTCGTTGTTAAGTGTGAAAAAAAAGATGATGCATGAACACTATAAATTCCCCAAACAATCTTAAACACCTCAGTTGGATCCCCTCTAACTCTTATCTTTTCAAGAGAAAATGATTTCAGAGATCTTAACTTTTCTTGCTCATATGACAACCCCTCCATCCCAGGAACCTTCCTCTGAACCCTTTCCAACAATTCAATGTCCTTCCTAAGGTAAGGAGCCCAAGACTGAACACAATACATCAGATACGGCCTTACCAGTGATCTATACAATGAAATTATAACCACTTTAGACTTGTAACCAATATTTCTGTAGATACAACCTAAAATCCCATTTACTCTAAAACTAGCAGCAGCACACTGTTTGGATGGTTTAAGAGATGATCAACCAGAACAACAAGATCCTTTTCTTCTATAAGTTTTTTAATGTTATTCCCATCAAAATTATACTTATAATTGAAATAATGATAACCCACATGCATTATTTTGCATTTATTATAATCAAAACCCATCTGCTATTTATTTGCCCAACTCATCAAATAATGTAAATTTTTTTATAAAGCAACAGCATCCTCCTCGCAGCCAACAATTATCTAACATGTTCATCGAAGCTCAATGCTTCAGCATAAGGTGATAGTAAATGATATAAATTTAGTTGTTTTAGACAAACACACTTACACTCGTATATACCACAATAAAAATCTTTACAGCTTTCTAATAATGTAAAAAAATCTCTAATTCTAAGTAAACATTTAAATACTCTGCATACAACTCGAGTCCTGTTTTCGTTCATCAGCTACGCAAGGCTAAATTTACCATTTTATCATTGTTTTCCAGTGTTCTAGGTACATAATGTCTTCTATTTGTGTCCTATATCATAAAATTAATTGTACATTAATATAATTACAGTTTGTAACCATAGAAACTAAATTTCAAAAATAATTTGGCTGTTGTAAATTAATGATTTATTTTAAACTTACCTTGTAAAGAAGTACAATCTGTATTAATATGAATATTCTAATACATTTACCATTTGAATTGTTATCTTCATCAGTTACAAAAAGTTTTATATTTGTTTCTTCTACTTTTCTGCCTGCTTGCTTGCTCTGTTGTAGGTTTCAGCTCTTCTGAATACGTTTGAAGTGCTCTAATACTTCTGTATGGTGTTGTGCTATTCATTAAACACTGAGAATTATATGGTCATGGGGATTTTTGTGAAATATTTTTTTATGTTAAAATATATATCTACACATATACATTTATAAAGATTATGCAATATTTATGTCAATTTTAACTCTTTTTAAACCCGTAATTTTTTCCACATTCTGCCAAACTTATTTTCGTGATTTCTTATAAATGATCACCATACCTTATAAAATTTCAATTTTATTAATTTTGTGGATAATAACATGGTTTGGATTAATTTTCAGCCGAAGAGGCATAAATGTTATCGGATTTTGTCGTTATCTGATTGGTAAATTGTGACTTTGGCCTGGTGTTAGAAGCATCTGCTCGGGTTTAGGGAGTTACTGTCTAAGGAGAAAAAATAATAGTGTAACATAACACCTCCTTACCTTAGATGATAGTTCAAAAATAAACATTCTACACAGAGGACAGAACAACAGTTACCTCTCTTAAAAGTGTACTTTTTATGCTATAGTTTGTACCTTGGTTTGTTTATCCTTTACTTGTTACACTTTTTTGTTCAACAGCATCTAAATAAAACTATTTCTGTTATATTAAAAATTTAAAGTGATCATTGTAACAGATAAGAATTAACTCCTAATAAACGTACATATAGATAAGTGTTTTAGACAGTGAGGCCAAAAGCAAAACGTCATTGCAAATAAACCAAACAATTCAAACCAATTTCCAAAGTATAATGTAGGAAAGGCTAAATTTGTATTATAGCAAGAAAGGCTATTTAGTCTTTCTTTTATGTGCAGTTTTTTGTTTTTGGCCTCAGTGTTTACGTTTCTTTTTAAAATCTTTATGCTTCAATAAAATTGTTGTCAATTACATGCTGAATTGGTGGGTCCATGCAGTTGAGATAGAGCAAAATGAAAAGAATGAGTATAGTCTGACTTTCCTCATTAAATATTTTATTACAATACTCATTTGAAAACTAAAATGAAAAGCATTACACCTAATATGTTTTTAGTTACTATGTGAATTTATGTTTACCCAGTTAGGTTTGAGCTGTGTTTTAATTGTTACCTGGCTAGTATATAAGTGTTTGTGTGAATCCTAGGCTAGACTGATGTAGTGAATTGACTTTAAGCCATGTTTGCAGATATATATAATTATGTAGTGTAATCCATTAACTCTGCCTGCTACATCTTCAATCATTTAGTTCTCCAATCTTGTATAAAGGAAAAATAATGTTTTATTTTTAGTTTAAATTATAAGCAATAATTCTTATTATACTGACTATTTATGTACAGTTCACTAGTCTAAAAGCTGTTTTTACTTTAATGAATCAATATAAATGTAAAGGCTTAATTAAATATTCTAAATGTATCTTAAGTTAATGGTCTTCATACAAACAGAAGTGACCAGCATGTGACATAGAGACATTTACAATATGTGTATTTTGCATTAAACTTAGAAAGCAGTAATATAAATTTACAGTGTAGAAGGAAAAAGCACTTGTTTAGATGTCTTTTCTTTTCTTTGTAGAAAAGCTGATGTCATTGCTAGGGGTTTCTCAGGGTATAACACACGGATGAGTAAGGTCATCTTGCCTCGAATTTTTAATTCTGATAATATGAAAGAGGTCAGTTGTCTTGTTATTTGTTTGGGAGCCAATGATGCATGTGAAATTGCTGCTACCACCAGACAGCATATTCCTTTAGAAGAGTATTGTGAAAATCTGAAGGAAATGATAGATTACTTAAAGGTAAATTGTTTAGTGTTTTCGTGTCCCACATATTAAACCAAAATAAGAAATGTTTGATTTTTATACAAATTGTTGATTTTTTCCAAACATGGATTACTAAGGTGAAAACGAAAAAGACTTATCATGTAGAATTGTTTCATATTTATGTTTTTTGTTTGTTTACATTTAGTATTTTATATGTGTTACGATTTGGTATAGCATGTTCTGGATTCACCTTCTGATGAATTATGTGTGGCAGTGGTTAGCATATTGGGCCGTGGATTAGAAGGTTCAAGGTTCTTGCAGCATTGTCATTAAACATGCTACACATCTTTTTCTTTGGGTGTGTTACAGGGGTTACAGTCGGTTCTGCTATTTGGTTCAAAGCCTTTGTGATAGTTGGTGCTGGTGACTGGCTGCCTGCCCTTTTGTGAGCATTTCAAAATTCAGGATGAGTGTACCCAAACCCACGGTCTCTGTGACTTAGATGATTAGCTCATATTCAGGTGTCATTCGTGATGAAAGTAACAATGTGTATGAATGCTATACAGCTAGGATCTTACATGTTATTGTACAGATATGGTTATTTGTGTTGAAGTATTATATTTCTACATGCTTATTTGCTTCTGTAAAGGGCGAGTAGAAAGGATATTGCTGTTTTTGCAGAAACAATGCTTCCTAGGTAAAAATTATTGAAGAAGCTGTTGCAGCTTTCAGGTATATAATAATAGTTTTGTAGTTTAATTTCGGGTATATAATAATAGTTTTGTAGTTTAATTTCAAGTGTGTAATAATAGTGTAGTAGTTTAATTTCAAATGTATAATAATACTGTAGTAGTTTAATTTCAAATGTATAATAATAGTTTTGTAGTTTAATTTCAAATGTATAATAATAGTGTAGTAGTTTAATTTCAAGTATATAATAATAGTTTCGTAGTTTAATTTCAAGTATATAATAATAGTTTCGTAGTTTAATTTCAAGTATATAATAATAGTTTTGTAGTTTAATATCAGTTATATAATAGTTTTGTAGTTTAATTTCAAGTATATAATAATAGTGTAGTAGTTTAATTTCAAGTATATAATAATAGTTTCGTAGTTTAATTTCAAGTATATAATAATAGTTTCATAGTTTAACTTCAAGTATATAATAATAGTTTTGTAGTTTAATATCAGTTATATAATAATAGTTTTGTAGTTTAATTTCAAGTATATAATAATAGTGTAGTAGTTTAATTTCAAGTATATAATAATAGTGTAGTAGTTTAATTTCAAGTATATAATAATAGTTTCGTAGTTTAATTTCAAGTATATAATAATAGTTTTGTAGTTTAATATCAGTTATATAATAATAGTTTTGTAGTTTAATTTCAAGTATATAATAATAGTTTTGTAGTTTAATTTCAAGTATATAATAATTGTGTAGTAGTTTAATTTCAAGTATATAATAATAGTGTAGTAGTTTAATTTCAAGGATATAATAATAGTTTTGTAGTTTAATTTCAAGTATATAATAATAGTTTTGTAGTTTAATTTCGGGTATATAATAATAGTTTTGTAGTTTAATTTCAAGTGTGTAATAATAGTGTAGTAGTTTAATTTCAAATGTATAATAATAGTGTAGTAGTTTAATTTCAAGTATATAATAATAGTTTTGTAGTTTAATTTCAATTATATAATAATAGTTTTGTAGTTTAATTTCAAGTATATAATAATAGTTTTGTAGTTTAATATCAAGTATATAATAATAGTTTTGTAGTTTAATTTCAAGTGTGTAATAATAGTGTAGTAGTTTAATTTCAAGTATATAATAATTGTGTAGTAGTTTAATTTCAAGTATATAATAATAGTGTGGTAGTGTAATTTACCTGCTTTTCATAGCTTCAACTGTTTACTTCTTCAAGCTTAGAAGTAGGCATAACAACTTGATGTGTAAGGTAATCTTGCCTTGAATTTTGAATTTGGTTGTCAGTTGTTTTGTTATTTGCATGGTAGTCAATAATGCATATGAGTCTTCTTTTAGTACGTGTAACACGTACTTTACATAGTTCTAAGCTAATGTATGCATTTTGTTTTTACTATATTAATGGCCAGTGATTAGAGATTTTCCTCAATGCCATATGTAGATTTGTATATAGTTCTAAGCCAATATCTGTTGTTGTCTTACTATATAGGTTATTGCTTGGTGAAAGCCATATGTTAGAGATTTGGTATGAGCTTTCATTATGTTTAAAGACACTGACAAATGAACAGCTTTCTGAATCTCGTATATATGAAATCTTATGTAAGATCTTGTCTTGAAGAATGTTTATTCTTAGACTTTTGCCTGACCACTATTAGGCATTATTCCAAAAATATTATACCTAATAAGTTTGCAATATAAAACAAATTTTATCTGAAACTACAAACAGTCTAAATCGTTTTTGTCACAAGTAGGATTAAAAACCATATTGATGTATTTTAGATTTTTTTTTTATGAGCTATTAACCCAGTGAAAATAAATGGTAAAATCTTATTTCAGAAAAAATAATTGTTGATAATGACTTGAATTTCATAGCTTTACATAAATATACATTTGTGACTGACTGGAGTACACAGGATTGAGATAAGATTTTTATTGTTACATGTATTTAACTATTAATTATTTTAATTTAAATTCTGAATATTAGATCTGAAAAACATATAATGTAATTTTTCTCAGTAATGTAAAGTAAGTTTTTAGACAACTAATTAAAAGTGTCTTATTTGTTTCGACATGAAATTCAAATATTTGTAAGTCTTTATGAAATCTAGCATGTGATTGGAAGTTTTTGAAAGTTATTTGAATTTTAAGAGTGTTGTAATTATAGTCCATAGGCCTTAAATTGGATCAAATCATTTTGATGTCTCCTCCACCATACGATCATGAAAAATATAAGGCTTATTGTGAAGATCAAGGTAAGTGTTTACAAAACTTTAAAAAAATGCCATCTTTTAGTGGGGCCTAACACGGTCTAATCTTTAGCAGGCTCAGACTGTAAACCCAAAGATTAATGGTTTATGTCCCAATGCACTACATACATTGGAACTGTGGGTACTCTATAAAAGTGAAGATCAAATTCCACATTTTCTCATATAAGAGTAGTCCAAGAGTTAGCAATAGGTGTTTTAATTAGCTGTATTCCCTCTAATTTATCAGGTCAACATTAGGGACAGCTAAGTGCACGTAGTCCTTTTGTAACTTTGCATATAAGTTCTAAGCTTTTAGTGAGTTGATTCTTATCCTGAAGATAAGTTTTTATACTTTTAACCCCAAAACAAGTGTTTTTTAATAAAACTTAATTGAAGAACCAAAGGTATTCCATGATATTTTGTTACAAATAATACAGAAATTTATACCTTGAAACAAACTGTACAAGAATAAATTCTCAGTTTTGTTGGTATGTGAACCAGAATACCATTATAAGTTGGTTAGTTATCATAAGAATACAGTAGCATAATAGGCTACTTATATGTTGCATTCAAAGATAGTTTTTTTTTGCACTTAATATACTTTACAAAATTAAATTTTCAAGTGTTATGTTTATCTCGTGGTTTTTCTTTTCCATATTCTGTGGCTTAAATTCTTGTCCTGTTTTTAAGTGTAATTAACTTTTCAGCAATGGCTAGATACAGAAGTGTGGTTAAGTTACGGCTTATTATTTGTTACATCTTTATTTTTAGGGAATGGGGTCTCAATATGTTGACCTTTTTTATATTAGTATGGAGGTAGAAAAGCCAGAATGATTTTATGATCATAAAAACTAAAATACACGAATGTGTTATTATACCCTTTTTAAGTTTTGTATTACTGTTGTATTTTCCAGAATGAATGGTTTCCATATTTCGTATTATAGCTTTAATGATAAAGTACCTAAAACTAGTAAGCAGTTTGAGGTAGTAAGGTTGTGTGCTGTTTTTAAATTAAAAAATTAAATTTCTATTGAATTTGAAATTTCAACACTTATTTATTACTGAATCACAAAAATAGTTTCATCAGAACAAAGCTTAACCTTTTTTTGTCACCAGTTTTTATAGATATATCTTCTTAAAGGAATGAGATATTACTATTATGCACAAAAAACTATGTATATTAAATACACTTTTCAACCTTTGATAACACATTAGACTTGTTTCTGGTTCTTATACATCAGCGAAGTTTTATCATCATTTTGATCCAGTCTCATCACTTCAATGTTCAAAAGTTTATGGTAAATTGTCAAATAAGGACAAGTGTTCTTCATTGAGCTATATTATCATTCACAAGGCAGCTTAACGTATGTAATACAAAATTTTTTGTTGATCGTTATTTTGTGCCTTTCTTTCTTTTTATTGGTTATGAATATTTATTTTATCACAATTTTAAGAAATTGTGTTATGTGTACAAGTACTTAGATTCTATCCTTTAACACTTTTCTCATGTGCCTTAGCCTTTTTACACATATTTAACCTATTAGTGGCTGATTTTAGACTTCTGTTAGTTATACACTTGCAGGTACAAAGAACTGGGACATTAAGTACTATAAATAAAGTTGGATAGAAGAAACCTATACATGTCAAACTATAGATTAAATCAAATTTGAATACATTTTATTATAATATAAAGTTAGGTATTTTATCACAATTATTTTCTTATAGCTGTCTAATGTTGTATGAGAAAGTTTTAAATAATTTCAAGTTTTTAGAATGATTGAAATAAGTTTTTTTTTATTTGCATGTACAAAAAAAAAGACTTCAATGTAATGTACTTTAAGGTATAGTTTGAAACAAGAATAATCTAAGTCAGTATTAATGAAATTGCAATTGTATGAAGTAATTTTTGTAAATAACAAATTAACATTTATTAATGAAAGGTAAAGAAGAGCCTGTGAGAAACAATGTAACTGTGAAACAATATGCAGAAGCATGCTGCCAAGTTGCATTAACTTGTGGCATTGAAGGCATTAATCTATATGCAGCCATGATGCAAGACGTGGTAAGTTTTCACAGTTGTATGATTATCTAGATAGCCATATTTTATACAAAGTTAGCTGTGTTTAGGCTCAATGCTTTTGTTACTTTGCGGAACCTATCGCCAACAAGGTGCATTATAGTTTTTTTGTAATGAAACCAAATTTTGAATGTGTAGTGAAGTGGTTTTATGTAAAAATAAAGAAAACATGAAATAACATCTAGTTTTATAACTTCTTAGTGTAAACAGATATCTTTATAAAAAGTCAATGACTTTATCACCATCACCACTGTGTCATTTTAAGGCATTTTACTTTCATTTTCTTATTCAACACAATCTTCTTCCAAAGTGACTCTGCCTAGTAAGCAATTGTTTTTATGTCTAAAAAAACATTGAGCTTAGATTCTAAGTCTTTATTTTTGTTTTATAAATATTCAGTAATATTGGTATCTCGTTTTTTCAACAAGACATTAAATTTTCTAACATTTTTCCAATACTAACCATTTCTATGATTGACTGCAGTTGGCGACCATTTCAGTTGATGTATTGTCGACGAGACATTGCTCCCATATTACACTGTGACTTGTTTCATTCCATTTACATGTGTTTCAAAAGCACTTGATACAGGGGGCAAAGTTTTTATAGTTACTGTTTTGTTACTCACAGGCAAAACAAGTAGAGTAACTTCACAGTGATTACATAATGAAATATGTATTAGAAAATTGAAAAGAAGCTATAACAGTAGTTTGTTGTTTCACTTTGGAGTGACTATTTAGTTTTATTGAAGCTCATTGGAGAGTCTGTGTTATAATTCATATATATATATTTGATTCGTGACATCAGATGTTTAAGTGGTATTCAGGAGAAAAATTCCAAAGTTTGCAATACGTTCCTCAACAGAGGCTGGGCATGGCCTAGTGTGAATCTCGGGACTCGAGATTTGCACTCCTTTACTGCTAAAACATGCTCTGTACTTTGGGTATGCTATAAGAAGTGTTGGTCAATTCTTAATATTTAGTTGGACAAGGACAGCCTAACAGTTCGCAGATGGAGCCATTGACTAGCTACCTCCATCTAGTCTACCAGTTAAAATTTAGGGACAGGTATGTGAAAATAGCCCATGGGTAGCTTTACACAAAACGTTTAAAACAAAAGGATTTATGGATGCTCTGAGCTTTTCAATTGTTTCAGATCAGAGGAAAACAAACTCCCTCTGATTTTTTCCCAGTTCTGAACTTTTAAAGATTACTAGGCTTGAAAAACCATAAGTACATGCGCAAATTACTTAATCTTGCACATAGAATGGTGATTTGCAACTACTGAAAATGTCCAACATAAGTCAAATTAAGAAATACTGCTTAATTTTAATCCTGAGTGATGGCACTTATTGATTAATACAATCTTTCTGCTAGTTTAATAGCCAGCCACTATTTGTTCCTTTAAATTCGTTTTTGGGGATTTAGTTATTTTGAGACTATGAATGAATGCCTGTTAGTATAGTTATAAGTAAATTGTATCTGCGAGTCACAGGATTTAGAAAGAAAAAATGTTCTTCAGAAACATTTTTTTAGTCTTATTTTTGTTGATTGCCTAGTTCTGAATTTATTGAACTAACTGAAATTAACATAAATGACATTTAGGTATAGTTTATTGCAGGTAAAATAGTGTCTATGAACAAATAACAAAACATTGAACACTTATTGAGGCTTGTGTATGTTTTTTCATAATGTTCAGATTGTTTGTTAAGATACACTTTAAATTATATTAGATTTATGCTCTTAGAATGTGAATAAATCAGTGCTTTAGGGTATAAGAATAATATAAGTCCCCTGTGAGATGCATATATCTTTTTTTCCTGTAAAACAAAACTATGTAGGTCACAGGAACATGCAGGTGGTTTTTTCTTCCTATCTCACTAGTGACCAGAATATTGTTTAGAACAAATATTAACTGAGTGAGTGTTATTTTCATGGGTGAATTTGACCAACAGTTGCCTAATAACCTACTAAATAAAAAAAATTAAATCAGCCTGGTCACTGGATGATGTTTTTCAACTTATTTTTACCTGGACAGATTGAATAATCAGGGGTGCAAAAATTCACAAGCCTGATACTACTACCTAGTTTTGAGTTTGAACTACTGTGAATTCCATGTGTTAACCTCGATCTAGTGCATGTATGCAAGAATCAACTCTATATTTGATTATTAAAATTTACAAAAATGATACAGTTACACTTTATCTTTCAAACTGTTAAATATATCTACTGTCACTGAGATCTTTGTAAGATTGGTAACTTGTTTTTCAACAGTGGGCTAATCCATCAAGTTAACTTGATACATTTAGTTGGCTGTTACTTTTTTACCATATTGAAACTATTCTTATCTCTCTGATTAGTCCAGTTTTGTTACTCATCAAGTCTTATAGTTTAAAAAATATGCAGCATAATATCAATACAAAATATATAGCACGTTTATGAATTTACTTCTATTTTTGGAATGGATTCTCAAAATACTCTTAAGCCCAAATTCAAGTATCTTCCAGAAGTTCATACACAATTAGTGAATAGTTTTTGCATTAAAATACCTGTAATATACATTGCTATGGTTTTCTTCCTCATATTTTTGTTAATTTATTCTTAGAAATGGCAGAGATTTCTTGGGGATGGGTTGCATTTTTCAAGTGAAGGATCATCATTTGTATTCAAGCTTTTGTGGCCTTCCATTGAAAAGAGAGTTGCACATCTGCAACAAATCCTACCTCTGTGGAGTGACATCAACAGAGAAGACCCATCTATAGATCTTTTACCACATAAAGACTCCAAAGTTGCTGATGGATGACTTGAAACCAAAGAAATTGTCTAGTAAGTTTTAACTATGAAACCGGTAATTCATGATATGATTCAGTTTTTTACTGCGTGTTACACAGTCTAAAAAATTTAAATATCTTTTTCTAGTTTCTTTTTAAACATGTGGTTTCTTAAAATAATGTAATGAAACCATTTTTGATATTCTTGTATATATTCAGTATGAAAAAAGTATACAAATAAAGATATATATATATATATATATACATACACACACATATATCTTATTTTTTCTTGATATACAGTGTACCAGTGAAAATGAAACGTGCATAATTTCAGGTAGTTAACTTTTTGTACCTATGAGGGTTGTCATAGTATAGACAAGTGATGTTTCGGTATTTCTACTAATATTAAATATATTTTAAAGTTGTGTATTTGTTTATGTTACAAGAGGATGATAAATGAAATTGAACCAAAATAGATATTCATAAAGCAGTAAATTATAGTCAGCTAAAGGTCGAAAAGATTTAAAATAAAATGCTGCTGATGTGTATTTGTGAATGAATGAATAGTGATACATGTAAGCTATCATACATAGGTTAACACAAAGTTACAAGTTATTCCATTGCTGGTAATGTTTTAGTTAAGTCAACCTGCAATGTTGAATAACATGGGACTTAGATAGCTTTATTACTGCTATTTTTCTTTGTATTTTGAAAAGTAGCTTATTATGTTAATGTCCTACACAAAAAGAAACTGGGGTTACTTCCACAAATTTAAATCTAATAAGATCATACTGATAAAGTTATTTGCAGATTTTGTTTGTTGTTAAGAAAGCCCCATGAAATAACCTTGGGAGGGGAGAATTTAGATCATAATGATGAACTTTTGTAAGGGTTCAGTTTCTTCTTAAGATCTATGTTAATGTTGATATAGATCATTGACTAATAAAATGTTTTTTTTTTTTGTATTTCTATGCTTGGTTTGTTATCCATCAATTTATTTCTAATCTGTGCTTTTAAATATCACAAAATAGTGTGATTCATTGCTTGTTGTTTTGTTTTTTCTGTATAGAAAATGCCTTTATACTTCTGTTTATATAAATAGTGGAATATTTATTGCCTCTTAATTGCGAGACAGCAGATGTCTACAAAAAATACCATAACAGTCACATAACACGAGAATTTAGTAAATAGTGTGGGATAGATGGATAAACATGAATTCTATTAGAATGTGAAGTGAAATTATATTTACATTAGGAATGTGTTAACCATTTGGAACTTACTAACACTTGATTATAATTGGCTGGTTATCAGTTACAGCTAACCTGGTTTATTTTGACTCTTAATTACTAAAATTACAAAACAGACCTACATTTTAGAAACTGCTTTTAAACCCTAGTCTCCTGTACATTAAAGATTTTTTTTTTGCTTTCTTAAAAATAGTCACTTGTTAATCCAATTTGCTCAAGTTTCTTTACCTATGGAACATTCAGATAATTTTAATATGCATTATATTTCATGTCAGATTACACAGGCCTGCAAATTTTAAACTCCATAAAAAGTTTTGTTTTTAATAATTCAGCTATGAACATTTAAAAAAGAATATTTTTTTTCTATCACAAAGAAAAAAAACTTACTTATATCAAATTTACCAGAATTTTTGGGTCATTTGCACAACCTCTTGTTGCCATAGTGACAAATAAAAAAAATAACGAACTTCACATATACTAGCAGTGTTTCTTGTGGGTTCTAGAACGATTGATAAAACTCTCACAGAGAAATCTATAGCAAGTGGTTGTCATCATTTTAAGCTCAATGAAAATGATTCACTTATGTAAAAGTACATATGATATTTTTGGATTCAGCATACAGGAATTACCGTAGAACATATAAACATTTCAAGACAAACCATAGCAGGCCTGTCTTATCAACTCACTAGGCTAAGGCTCAAATTATATGAAGGAGTCTTGTCTAGTATGGGAGTGAATACAAAAGATTTTATATATGCCTATACTGTAGAATGTTTCAGAATGGATAATGATTGGCTAGTTTACTAAGATCAACTTTTATTTGTGCATTATACATCTGTTGGACAATCATACTGTTTCTTATTCTACTACGAAGGTTTTGGTGTATAAAACACTTTAAAGAAAGTGATGGCTCTTGGAAACTAAATTTCTATAGTGTTTGCTAGTATACCAAATAGCTAATCTATGCTATTACCAGACAAATGCTGGGTACGAAGGAATCTGAGTACAATTAACTCGTGCAACTTTGCCGTGATTCATTTCACATATAATGTTGAAAAATATTTCATTTATGACAAGAATAAGTTTAAAGCATTTAATTGCATGGATCAGGTTAAAATACACACACACAGACACAAACCATTTTTTTATTCCCTTGAATAATCCAAAACTAGCAAATTCTGTGATTTGTTTTTTTATCATTACAAACAGTGAACTTACTTGCTTTTATCACAAGTTTAAGTTGCCATACGAAAACTAGTATTTGTATCTTCTGAAGAGGGTTTATTATTTTACGAAGCTTTGAGTAATTTTGAGATAAAACTTCATATATTTAACAAACTTTCATGTTATAGCTTTTAAAAGGAAATCAGTGTTTTTATTATAAATTTAATCCTAATGCACTGCAATTGCTACATCTGCTAAGATGTACAATTATAAGCACTTTCTGGAAAGGTTGTAATTTTTCTAGTCGTAGAAACCATAAGGTGGAAGTGTTGAAATTTTGCAATGGCTTACCTTTTTTTCTGAAAACTGTTTTGTTGGACATGTAGTCATTAGATGTCATTGCTGATAATAGATATGTGCCAGTATAATAAAAAAAAGTGTATTGGGAAGCAAGTGGGTACAGTATTTTTACTGTGAATTATGAGCAATGTGTGAAATTGGATGCCCTTCAACATTATTTGGTGGTTAGGAAGTACTTCATAAAAATATATATATTGCTATACACAATATCAGATCATGACATTGAAATGTCGTTAATAAAAATGATTAACTTTTTGTTTTTTTTGTTTATTCAGGATTTTCTTATTTCCAAAGAAACTTAATGTTGGTTATTCATTTTACATGATAAACATACAGCTAACTCATAGAAAAATTAAAAAATGGTCATTGTCAGTTCTAAATAGCAATGATAAAAATAACGTAAAAAGTTAATAGTATTGAGTGCAGCTGAAGATAGTGCTTCAAATTCTTTGTTACAGACACATTTGATAATATAGTTCATCAGTAAGATGTGAAAAAAAAAAGAAGCAAATTCATCCAAAAAATTTCTCCTTTTCACAAAGAAAGGAAACTTTTTTTTATGGAGACTTCCCTCTAAATATACTGATCTATATAAAATACATGGAACCTAATAGCAGTTTTTTGACACAATCAATTTCTGATTTTTATAACTCGGATACAATATATATATATATACAACATATACTACTTCAGTCAACTGTTATTAGCAAACTTTTAACTGCTAATTTTGAACAAAGAAGGTTTATTGTACGGTGATGATAATTTTGGTAAAGTATCTGCAAAGTACAACATGACCACTATAACCGAGAACAAGTTCAGACATGTTCACTGGTAATTATTACTCTTTGGTAGTTTTTGTATGATTAAGTTATACTTAAATCTTACAGGAATGTTAACGACTGACTAGAAATACCTGATTGTGTAATTCATTGGAAAAAAGTGACTAGAACAAATTTTTTTATAATGAATTAGCCATGTATT